TAGTCAGGGAGAAGATCTGTGGATGCCCCACCACCCCTTGGCAAGGGGGGGGGAGGTTCCTGGAGAGGGAAATGAGCTCCAGGAGCTGTCCCCCTCCTCTGCTGCAGGTAACCATTCACCCCTGATGTGGACGGTGTCCTCCTAAGACCCATGGAGCACAGCGTGGCCCCTGGGAGAGCCCACCAGCCTCTGGTGTGAGCAACACCCTGCTGCTGTGCTGGCAGATGGATGGAACCCCCTGACCCACCACCCCAGAGACCCTGGGAGGCTCTTTTTGGAGCCCTGGCTCACCACATGTCGATGGGTGTGGAATATTCAGTAGATCCCAGCAGGACATCAGGGGGCCGGTACCAGAGCGTGACCACCTCATTGGAGTATGTTTTTGTAGGGACTGACTTGGCTCTGGCTAGTCCTGAGGAGGAAAGGGATGGGCATGAAGGAGCTGCACCCAGCTGGACCTCTTGGCAACGCTGCATCTTGCCCAGAGAAGTGCCACCTACCAAAGTCAGCCAGCTTGAGCTCTCCCCTCTCGTTGATGAGCAGGTTCTGGGGTTTGAGGTCTCGGTGCAGGATCTTTCTCCCATGGCAGTAAGCCAGACCACGCAGCAGCTGGAACATGAAGATCTGCAGGGAGGAGAAGGGGCTGGCATTTAATACTGGGGCATGGGTGCCAAAAATGAGCCTGTCTTATGGGCTCTCAAACTCCTGGCCAGGAAAGACCCCTCCAAGCTGGGGTGGGATGCACTGGAGACAAGTGTCCAGGCCCATCACCAGAATTGGGGTTGAAGAAACTCTGCGCGCACAGTGATTTTATTCAGGGTGGCAGCGACTTGAGAAAAGCTGGTGGAGCATCAGAGCAGGCTAGAAAAGGTCACAGAGGAGTAAGAAGAGGCATCCAGCCTCAGCCCTGGGCTGAGCTCTGGGTGAGCTCCAGGCAGCACCGTCTCACCTTCACGTTGTGCACGCTCATCAGGTTCCCACAGTTCTCCAGGTACTGTTTGAGGTCGTTCTCCTGCAACAGGAACCACACGTCAGCCAGTCCCTCCCGTGGCCCCCGTCCCCCTGCTCCTGCAGAGAGCCCCCCAGACCCACCAGGTACTCGAAGACGAGGGTGAGGGAACGCTCTGTGTGGATGATGTCGTGCAGGGTCACGATGTTGGCGTGCTTCAGGTTCTTCAGCAGCGACACTGCGAGGAGAGGACCCGGTGGGCTGGGGCAGCAGGACCTGGGGCAGCAGGACCTGGGTGCTGGGCAGCAGCTCGCCGGTGGCACCAGCTGCTGGTGGGATCACAGGGACACCCCCACCACCCCCTCCCAGATGTCCCCATGCCCTGGCAGTGCACACGAGGGCTGCGATGGGGCAGAGCCCGTCCTGCGTTCACCTTCCCGTATGGCCGTGCAGGGAGCCCCCTCCTCGTGCTCCAGGCGGATCTCCTTCAGGGCCACGAGGTTCTCAGTCAGCTTGCTGCGGCCCTTGAAGACCGTGGCATAAGTGCCCTGGGTGGGGGGAGAGCAAACACAGACCATGCAGGCTCCAAGGAGACCTCCGTGCAGCCTTCCAAGGGGCTGAGCAGAAAGCTGGGATAGGGTTTTGGGCAGGGCTTGTTGAGACAGGACAAGGGATGATGGGTTTAAACTACAAGAGGGAGATTTAGACTAGAGAGAAGGAAGAAATGTTGGAGGCTGAGGGTGGGGAGCCCCTGGCCCAGGCTGCCCAGAGAGGTGGTCGCTGCCCCATCCCTGGAACCATCCCAGGGGAGGTTGGCCGGGGCTCTGAGCACCCTGCTCTGGTTGGGGATGTCCCTGCTCAGGGCAGGGGGGTTGGACTAGAGCTTTGAAGGTCCCTTCCCACCCAAACCAGTCTGGGATTCCTCACCATGGTGGCACAGCACTGCCATACCCCATAACATTTGGAGGAGGGATCGTTTGAGGCTATAGGGCCATCTGAAGTCCACAGAATGACTTGGTCTAAAAGCTGCTAGATACTGAAGAAATTTGGGTGCAGTCTGCCCTTTGCACTTCAAGCTGCCCTTCTGAATTAATCTAACAGGCCTTTCAGAGTCTACTCACCTCTCCCAGTTTGTCCAGTTTAACATAGGTTTCCATCTTCCCAAACCCAATATCTGACTGGAAGAGAGAAAGGAAAACATCACTGGGAGGGATCTCACCCAGGGATGGCTTCACCTCTGGGGGGAAGGTCACGGATGCAGACACAGCTTCGGGGGCAGGTCAGTCCAGGCAGGT